GACAACTTTCGGCTATGCAATTAGCGAAAGGATGGAAGAAAGGTGAGCCGACATTCATTGCTCAATTGTCGGTTACAACCAAAGTCACCACAAATAATGATGACGTACCAAATGTTATTGCGAAGGTCCTTGAGGAAAATAAGGACGTGATGCCCAAAGAATTGCCAAAGAAACTTCCGCCTAGAAGGGAAGTAGACCATCGCATTGAGTTGGAGCTCGGTGCCAAACCCCCGGTCATGGCACCTTATCGCATGGCACCTTCGGAGTTAGAGGAACTTCGAAAACAACTTATGGAGCTGGTGGAGATGGGAAGGATTAGACCATCCAAAGCTCCCTATGGCGCCCCGGTGTTATTCCAAAAGAAGCCGGATGGGACTCTAAGGATGTGCGTTGATTACCGGGCACTAAACAAGGTGACGGTGAAAAACGAATATCCTATTCCATTGAGTGCAGACTTATTTAATCGGCTTGGTAGTACTAAATTCTACACCAAGGTTGATTTGCAAAAAGGCTACTATCAAGTTCGGATTGCGGAAGGAGATGAGCCTAAAACTACTTGCATTACTCGGTATGGTTCCTATGAATGGCTTGTCATGCCGTTCGGTGTGACAAATGCCCCGGCCACCTTTTGCACCTTGATGAACAAGATATTTTATCCATACTTGGATAAGTTCGTGGTGGTTTATCTCGATGATATTTTCATCTATAGCAACACGTTGGAGGAACATGTTGAGCACTTGAAAATAATCTTCCAAGTGTTGCGGGAAAATGAATTATACATCAAGAAGGAGAAATGTTCATTTGCCATAGAAGAGGTGCATTTCTTGGGACATATCATCGGGCATGGTCACTTGAAAATGGATGGAGCCAAAGTAAAAGCAATTAATGAGTGGGAGCTACCTACTAAGGTGACGGAATTGCGGTCTTTCCTTGGATTGGTGAATTACTATCGGCGTTTCATTAAAGGATACTCCTCTAGAGCAGCCCCATTGACGGACTTGCTCAAAAAGTCTCAAGGATGGGATTGGACCGTGAAATGTCAAAGAGCCTTTAATGATTTAAAGGCGGCGGTCATGTCGGAGCCGGTGTTGGCCTTACCGGATTTCAACAAAAATTTTGAAGTTCAAAGTGATTTATCGGATTTTTCTATTGGAGGTGTGCTCATGCAAGAAGGACATCCTATTGCCTTCAAGAGCCGCAAGTTGAATGACACGGAACGGCGTTATACGGTGCAAGAAAAAGAAATGAAGGCCATTGTGCATTGCCTACGGGTATGGCGTCATTATCTTTTGGGTTCCCGTTTTGTGATCAAGACGGACGACGTGGCTACAAGTTACTTCCAATCACAAAAGAAGTTGAGCCCGAAGCAAGCTAGATGGCAAGATTTCTTAGCGGAGTTTGATTATGTGATGGAATACAAACCTGGAAAGGTGAATGTAGTGGCGGATACACTTAGCCGGAAGGCGGAACTCGCGGCAATTAGTTAAGCCACGGGGACCTTGTTAGAGGAAATTAAACAAGGATTGGAGCATGACCCCATAGCGAAAACATTGATGCAAGCCACTCGAGAAGGAAAAACAAGACGATTTTGGATTGACAACGGGTTACTATACACCACTGGGCAACGGGTAGTTGTGCCTAAGTGGAGAAATTTGCGGCGTGACGTGATTCGAGAATGTCACGACACCAAGTGGGCTGGACATCCCGGGATAGATCGGACATTAGCTTTGATTGAACGAGCATATTATTGGCCGCAAATGAGGGATCAAGTTGAGACATATGTTCGGACATGTCTTGTGTGCCAACAAGACAAAGTGGAGAATAAATTACTGGCAGGACTTCTTGATCCTCTTCCTATTCTGGATCAACCATGGGACGTGGTCACCATGGATTTCATTAGTGCCTTGCCAAAGTCCGAGGGGTTCGGATCAATAATTGTTGTTGTTGATCGGTTTTCCAAGTATGCTACTTTCATTCCAGCCCCTAAGGATTGCACTGCGGAGGAGACGGCAAGGTTATTTTTCAAAAATGTTGTGAAGTATTGGGGGTTACCGAAGCATATTGTAAGTGATCGAGATCCCCACTTCACGGGGAAATTGTGGACGGAGTTGTTTAAACTCCTTGGATCGGATTTGCACTTTTCAAGTAGTTTTCACCCGCAGACGGATGGACAAACGGAACGGGTAAATGCATTGTTGGAGTGTTATCTTCAGCACTTTGTTAGTGCTAATCAGCGTGATTGGGCGAAGTTGATGGACATAGCCCAATTTTCCTACAACTTGCAGAAAAGTGAATCCACGGGACATAGTCCATTTGAGCTTGCAACAGGGCGACAACCTACAACGCCCCACACATTATCTATGGTTGGTGATTCTAACCGAAGTCCCGGAGCAATCAAAATGGCTAAGTCATGGGAAGATCATGTGGACTTAGCAAGATCTTGCTTGGAGAAAGCTCGGAAGTGAATGAAGAAGTGGGCCGATGTGAGACGAAGACCATTGGAATTTAACATTAGAGATCAAGTATTTGTGAAAGTGTTGCCTCAACAATTCAAAGCCTACCGCAAAGTTCACAAGGGCTTGGTTAGAAAATATGAAGGTCCATTCCCCATCCTAGCAAAGGTTGGAAGAGTTTCCTACCGGCTAGATCTTCCAAGCACTTTAAAGATCCACCCGATTTTTCATGTAAGCATGTTGAAACCATATAGGCCGGACTTGGAGGATCCAGGGAGAAACAAATCAAAGAGAGCGCCTCCCATCGTCACAAAATATTTTGAGAAAGATGTTGAATCCATTCTAACGGATCGAGTGGTGAGACGGAGAGGTGTTCCCCCTTGCACTCAATACTTAATCAAATGGAAGGGATTGCCCAAGCTACTTGGGAAAATGAGGGAGATCTATGGCAATTTGAGTCCGAGCTTCGAAACTAAATGGCGACGAGGGCGTCGCCAAATTCGGTGGGGGAGTGACTTATGCCCCATGCGGTCGCGTTCGATCCGTCCCAGTAGCGGCCGCAAAATGGCGTGGATAGCACGCTGCAATAGGACGGAACATATTGTTTTGGGAAGAATGCAGGCTGCCTAAAATTGTGCAGCTTTCCAGGGCATTAATGAGATTGTTCTAAGTCTCGACCCAGCTATTTTGGAGAAAAAATACATGAACCTGCAGCGGGATATTTTGGGATGCAAGTAGGCAACTTGCACAACTTGTCCACTTGTGCCACTTGCAAGATATTATCAAAGATAAAAGCTAAGCGCGAGTTGGCGAAGATATTATCAAAGGTGCAAGCTAAGCACGAGTTGGCAAGAATAATATCTACTATGCAAACTAAGATCGAGTTGGAGACAACTTGCAAGGAAAGTTGTAAACTTATCCACTTGACGACAACTAAGCGTGAGTTGTAAACAATTAGCACGAGTTGTGAACAACCAAGCGTAGGTTGTAAAGTAAGGCAACTTGATCTTAAGGAGGTTTAAGTTTTGCCTATAAATAGAGATGGAAGTCTTATTTGTAAATCATGTAGAGTTGAGTGAGTTTATTCATTAGAGAGATTGTAAAGTTTTCCCTTTCATTAATACAAAGAAAGTTTCTCGATCTTACTTGTTTTTCATATATCCCTTACTTCTAAATTCTCTTCTCAACGTAGGTATAATTTAGCCTCCTTGGTTAAAATTACTTGTAAGGGCGGAAAGGCTAACTTAATGTTTTCTCGTGAGATGCGGGAATTGTCAAGCGTTAAGGCCGTACGGTTCTAGTTGTTCGGGTGTAACGAAACTAGGTCCGTGACACTATGCTCCCAAAACCAACAGCAATAAGATGGAAATCTCCACATGTACAAAATCACGTATGTCCAAAATGCAGGTGGCTTTCATAAAACATTGGGTATTTCATTCCCTACACTCACAGCATGAGTACTATATAGATTCATGGATATTAAATAGAACTACAAGCACACTCCATCCATTATCCATGCCTATCACACCCAAATCAATACTATACTCGTATAATTCTGAAAAGGGATACCAACTGCCTTGTGCTACAAAGAGAGATGATACAACAGCATTTAAACAACACCTATTGTCGAGAAACAAAATTAATTTAAATGAATACCTCCATGGAAATCTAAGCATATTGTTGGATTTTGGCAATGGAAATAGAGAAATAACAGTTTCACTGATAATGCCTGCTCTATGATTTTTGCTGGCTGACCTGTAAAAACTCAAAAACAAAAACCATTTTCAGAGATCAAAACTCTCACATCAATTTCTGTAAAAACTTGTTTAATTTGGAGATTTTTGGGTATTTCAAGAATCAAGATCTAAGCATAGAAATAGGGACATCACAACTTTTGTAGGAACAACCCAAAAATGCAAGGCCTGTAAGAAGAATGTGTATTTGGCAGACAAACTTGCTGTTGATAATAAGGTTTATGATGAATTTTATTTTAGTAGTTCATTTCCATGTTCAAATCACGCAATCAAGTAGATAAAATCACCAAAAAAATCACAAAAACTTTGAAGATCCAGAAATAACCCACAATTTTTTAAAGGATATTGACAACTTACCACTTTGAAGTTGCAACCGTGGACAAGTAGAGCAACAAAATTGAAGGCTACCAGTCGTGACCGACCGTCGCCAGCATCGACGACCGTCGCCTGCAACTGGAAGGTTACGGTTGGGTCGACGATTTGAGGAAAACCAGGGAGGCAGGGAGTGACCAAGCGCGCGCGAGAGAGAGAGAGAGAGATGGAACGTTAGGGTTGGGTTGTGATATTTCTTTCTCATTTTCAAATTTGAACCCATCAACGGTCGATGTTGGTTATTGACAATCTATGGTTCTGATCTATTGGAAGGAAATGAAATATTTGAGTGGGGATTGATTGGAGGAAAATGAAAATTTTAGCGGCAAATTAAATTTTAGGTTGGAATTCAAACCTTTTGAGTTTTTCGATGGAATCTTTTCTTGGTAACTAATATAATAGTTTCAAAATTTTACCTCCAATGTTTATCATTAGAATTTTCCGTTGGTATATCATTTTATCATTTTTAATATTTTTCCAACAAAATCATCCATTAAGAAATTCTGTCACTAAATTGTTTAATTTATTATTTTTTTTTATTTTTAAATTTTTACCTACAAATTAGCAACGGATATTGTACCAATGAAATACTTTTGTTGGTAATTCTGTTACTAAATTCATATGTAATTTTTAAAAATAATAAAATCATAAGTTGCTACAAAGTCGTTAATCCGTTGGTAATAGCAACAGAAGACGGCCGTCGCTAAAATTTCGTCTCTGTTGCTACCTTTTCTAGTAGTGTTCCAAGCAGCTTCGATCCACAGTCAATATAATTCACTTCGGTTGCTATTCAATTTTACTTGCGTAGGACAAGAAACGGTGATGATTTGTGGCCACAAAGACTAGAAGAAGACGCTACAAAGGTAGGCTATGAAAGGACCCCCAATTATACAAAGTAAACAAGCGTTTTAGACACTTCTAAAAGCTTTTTTTCACACATAAAAGGGGGCAGCCGGGATACTCCTATTTTTTTTTACAAAACCACACAAATCATACAAGAAAGTGGTTAGGGTTATTGCCTTATAGATAGTCTAAGATTAGGCTTTAAGTTGGACCTCTAAGGGACTTAAACGAGCCAAGATTCAAGACATCCAAGAGGGAATACAATTGAGCTGAATGGAACTCATGGACCTGGTTGTTGGACTTATTTCATTCATCGGCTTATGCCTATAAAATAATTAACTCACATTAATATCATAGTCCGGGATTTATTGGGTATAAAAAACCCAACATTCTCCTTTCTCATTGTCAATGATACAAAAAATGCAGTGCATTGCTTGATGGTTCATCTTGCATACATATTTGTTTCTCAAAGTATGGCCATTTGTAGTTCAGATTTTGTTTGTAAGTTAAATCTTGCGTTTATCTCTTATAATGATGAGTACTGAGCATATTTCATCTTAAAACAAAGGCTGTGATAGAGGCTAGTTTTATCTCACCTCTTCTCGAACTGCTTCGAAGTGCAGAATTTGGGATAAAGCGACAGGCTGCTTGGGTTATTTCAAATGCCACGTCTTGGGGGACTCAAGAGCAAATCAAGTACAATTCTTTGCAACCATTATCTAATGCACTAGGTTATTGTACATTTGGGTTGAGTATTAATGCTGTATCTTGGTGGAAGGTTCTTGATGCACGAGGGTTGTATAAAGCCATTGTATGATCTTCTAGTTAGTCCTAACGAAGTAGAGACCATCAAATGCTGCTTGGCAGGCCTTGAGAACATTCTAAAGGTTGGAGAAGCTGAGAAGCATCAAGATAATGCTGAAGATGTGAATGTCTTTGCTCAGATGATTCGTGATGCTAGGGGTCTACAGAAGATTAAGAACCTCCAGACTCACGATGATGGTAATATACGTGAAAAGGCCGTAAAGATGCTTGAAACATATTGGCAGGAAGAGGATGATGAGCGGCTGTATTCTGGTAATGCTCCACAATTTGAGTGTATTTGTTGGACAGTAATTGTTGATTTCTTTTGTTTTCTGCCAAATATTTTAAGGCATGTCTGGTTGCACTAATAGAGTGGATCAGAATTTTTTTTGCCATTCTACTCAACTAAACATGGCTAACGGCTCTAAAAAAGTCTGCTTCTAAGCTGAAATAATTGTTGGAAAAATTGGTTTTAATTAGTTGGTTTGACCAACTTTTGACCAATTAATTTAGTGGGTCTCCTTAATCAGAAATAAGATTTCTTTGGCCGAATGTGTTCTACTCCATGAGTAGATTAATATGGTATATTTATTTTCTCAAAACCAATTTAGGGTGAATAAGAAATTAAGGCCAAAAGATGCCCACTTGATGTTGAAATAAAATAGGGAGAAATTGGAAAATACCAATCCCACATAGGAAAACTAGAAGAATATAAATCACCTTATATAGCTCAAGTTTAGGACTTGGGTATGGGCCCCAAGGGGTACCAATAGTCTTTGGGGGGAGAGAACCTACATGTTAGTAGGTTAAGTCAAAGCCCACGCGCGTGCGCCGCCGCCGCTGGCCGGCTCGCCTCGGCTCGGCACGGTCACGGTCACGGGTCGTGGGCCAAGCTGATATATATTTTTTGGTAAAATAACATTTAATTATATTATTTTATTATTATAATAATAATATATTTTATGTTATTAATTTTTTTCTTCCCCAAATTTTCTGTGTGTGACACGTGATGGTACAGTGCTTCTAGAATTTAGCGGGTTGTGGCGGTTGACTGTCCAAATCGTTTGTGTCTTTTGGACACAACTTTTCGGCAGTTGTGTCTGTTGGGACACAACATTTTAACATCTATAAATAGGCCCCCATACCTCGATTTTTATTTATTCCAAAAATCAGAATTGATTTTCTACTCTCTTGAAATTATCCCTTTGTCCCTGCATAATTTCTGTTTTTATAATTCAGTCCTCGAAAATTACTTTTCGTGCATTTCAGTCATCCAGTGTGTGTGGAGAGATCTAAACTTTACGGGTTCGTCGGGTCTTGTAATTTGGAGTACTACTATTACAAGACGAGGTCGTTATATTTTGAAAAACGAGTGCTGCAATACCGTTAGTACCAGTGCGGGGCATTATCGTTTTAAGGAGAAAGAGTCGAATTCTTGCCTCGACCGTTCAAAATCATCCAAACGTTGTTACTCTGCCCAAATATAAATTACGGTAATACTATTATTTGCCAACATTTATCAACAATAATAACTGTATAACAAAGTTTTTTTCTTTTTCCTGACCAATTAGAAACTAGTTGGTGAAAACTTCTTTTATCCACTAATACAAATTCTTAGTCGGGCATACCTTTGTCGATCAGTTTATTCTTAGTCAGGCATACCTTTGTCAATCAGTTTTTCCCCGATCAAATAGTAGTAGTCAAAGAAAAAGCAAAATTCAAAAGATAAATTTTTGCTCGTGGCCATTGAATAGTTTAATTAAATTCAGCGATAACTAATGGTGATTTGCTTTGTTTCTTTTTCTTTTTCTATATATTTTTTAAGTTAAAGAATGAGGTAATTCGTTTTTTTATATAAATTTTACTTTTTAGTAAGTTAATTGATGTGATCCGCACTTCAATAAATTCGGCAGAAAGTTCCAATATTGTGCAAGTTACCAAAAATTGATAGAATTTCATGTTGGCCGACAGTTTTGTGGTCCTTTAGGATTTGTCTCCTTATTTAATTAGGATTCTACTATTTTTAATATCTTTAGTTATTTGGGACGTGTTTTACTTTATTTAAAAATAGGTTTAGGATTTCATTCCTTTTTTGTTATTTTCTAGGTTTTAGTATAAATAGGACTATTTCATTCTTTGTATTTTTTAGACTTTGATATTTTGAGAATTAATTTGAGAGGCTTTTTCGCTTCCAATATTTGTTCTTGTATGGAACAACTGAACTTATCAAGATTTCGCGATCTTGTGGCGTTCAAAACTCGGGAAAGATTCAGTTAATTGTGCAATCAAAAGGTCCTTCGTATCTTTGTTACTTTGGGGTTGTTTGATTCATTAATTGATTGGGTTAAATCCAAATGCGGATTAAATTTATAAGTTTCGTGATCAAAAGGTCAATAATTTAATATATTATTGGTTGTTTGGTCCGCAAATTTGTGAATTGAGTCTTAAACTTTGATTTTTGGCTTTTTTGGGGTTTGTATCATTTTTTGTGGGTTTAATAGCGATCTAACTATCCGGGTTCACATCAGGTGGTATCAGAGTTAGGCACCAGAATCAAAGCTATATCCCTTTGTTTTTTTCTTCTTACTTTGGAGTCTTTGTTTTGTTATTCGTGTTTCCCATTAATTTTGAGTTTTAGATCTTTTTATCTTTGGTTGTTTATTTATTTTGGGTTTTTGCAAAAAAAAAATAATAATAATAATAAATATTTTTCACTCACTGTTCCATACCGTAGCTACTATTCACGGGTTCTAAAAAAAAAAAAAAAAGTCCCTCCAAAACTTTTATTTAATTTCTTAGTCCTTCAACTTCCTAATCTTAAATCTTCCACAATTCAATTATTACTCCACAATTTTATTCCGAGTAATTGTTCTTGAAATCATTGATTAGAAGCAATTGAGAGGTAAAAGGCTGCGTGGTGAGTTCAATTGAGGGTAAAGCCTAATATTGAGTGATTCCTGAGTGAAATTTTGGTGAGATAGAAAATTTGTTAGAATGTCAGAACAGGAAGGATCCACTTCGAGCAGGATGGGAAATCAAAATAACATGGAAGACGATATGATGCAACGGTTTGAGCGCATGATAATTAGTGTGGAGAATAGGTTGGACAGGCTAGACGCTACGATTACAAATCTTAGCCGGGGTCAACGGTCAGACATACCACATGCTAGGAGGTCGATTAGACGAGAGCCTAGGTACATATGCAAAATGAATATGGATATGTCAGTGAATGGGATGATGATGAGTTTGAAGAAGTAGAGATGGGATGGATGAAAAATAGAGGTGGTAGATTTGAACGAATGGGTAAAAACTATAGGGGAGACGACGGTGATGGAGGTATGGGTAGTATTAAAATGTCAGTTCCGACATTTTGGGGGTAGGAGTGACCCAGAGGCATTTCTTGAGTGGGAGAAAAAGGTAGAGTTGATATTTGAGTTCTACAACTAATCGGAGGAGAAGAAAGTAAAGCTTACAGTCTTGGAGTTCACTGATTACATCATCACTTGGTGGGATCAGGTGGCCACGTCACGGTTGAGGAATAGGAAGAGGCTGATAACTATGTGGGATGAGTTGAAAGCGGTGATGAGAAAACGATTTGTGCCTGGCCATTATTATAGCGAGCTTCATCAAAGGTTGCAGAGGTTATACCAAGGGTTGAGGAGTGTGGAGGATAACCATAAAGAGATGGAAATTCTAATGATTCGGGCTAATGTAGAGGACCGGGAAGCCACCATGGCACGATTCCTGAATGGGTTGAACGGGGACATTGCCAATGTTGTTGAAGTGCAGCATTACATGGAACTAGAAGATATGTTGCATGTAGCAATGAAGGTTGAGAGGCAGTTGAAGAGAAAAGTGGGATCTAGTAATCAACAAGGGTCTATTTCATCTTCGAGGTCTAGGTGGGATGAAGCGAAAGTTGATGAGGCTGTTGTCAACAATAAAATTGAACCACCTAGGAGAAAGAAATAACAATGCTGGCAAGGTTGCACCAAAGGCAAAACCACAGCAACCTAGGAATAGGGACATCAAGTACTTCAAGTGCTTGGGGACATGATACATTACTTCTCAATGTCCAAACAAACGAGCCATGATTTCGAAAGACAACGGGAAAGTGGTGAGTGATAGTGATGAAGATGGAATGCCCAAGTTAGAAGATGTTAGTGATGATGACGGGGTGAAGTATCCGGTTGAAGAGGACGCATTGGTGGTGATGCGTGCACTCAGTTCGCAAATCAAGGTGGATGAAGAGGAGCAATAGCAGGAGAATATTTTCCACGCACGATGCCACGTGGAAAATAAGGTATGTAATTTAATAATTGATGGAGGTTTTTGCACAAATTCAGCTAGTACCACATTAATTGAGAAGTTAGGTTTAAGAACAATTAAACATCCAAAACCACATAGATTACAGTGGTTGGATGATCATGGAGAGGTTAAAGTGAGCAAGAGGGTGTTATTGAATTTGTCAATTATGAGGTATAAGGATGAAGTGTTGTATGATGTTGTGCCTATGGATGTAGGGCATATATTATTGGGTAGGCGTTGGCAATACGACGGGAATGTGAAGCATGATGGATTTAGAAATAGGTATAGCTTTGACACGGATGGGAAAACAATTACAATTGTCCGTTTGACACCACAACAAGTGTTTGATGATCAGTAGAGGTTGAAAAGCGATGAGGGGAAAATGAAAGAAAAACAAAAGGGGAGCCTATATGCAAAGAAGAGTGGGTTTGGTGGTGGAAGAGAGTTGGTGAAGGCTAACATATCCCTCCCCAATTTGAAATATTCCTTGTTGTAGGAACATAAAAATTTATTGCATGAGAAAGCACCATTTAAGTATTTCATTGGTGTACAACAAATGGAGCAACTTTGGAGCATTAAAGAGGAATCAATCAACAATTGCAACGTGGGGTATAAGAAGCTCAATCAAGGGTTTAACATTGATCAAGTAGATGGAAGTTGCAAAGTATTTGAACCAGGTGTAGCGAAGACGAATCCTTTCGAAGAGGGAGGGAATGATGTGATCCGCATTTCAATAAATTCGACAGAAAGTTCTAGTTTTGTGCAAGTAACCGAAAATTGATCGAATTCCATGTTAGCCGACAATTTTGCGGTCCTTTAGGATTTGTCTCCTTATTCAATTAGGATTATACTATTTTTAATATCTTTAGTTATTTGGGACGTGTTTTACTTTATTTAAAAATAGGTTTTTAGGATTTTAATTCCTTTTTAATTATTTTATAAGTTTTAGTATAAATAGGACGATTTCATTCTTTGTATTTTTCAAACTTTGATATTTTGAGAATTAATTCGAGAGGTTTTTTCGCTTCTAATATTTGTTCTTGTGTGGAACAATCGAACTTATCAAGATTTCGCAATCTTGTAGCATTCAAAACTCGGGTAAGATTCAATTAATTGTGTAATCAAAAGGTCCTTCGTGTCTTTTCAATTAATTGTGTAATCAAAAGGTCATTCATGTCTTTGTTACCTTGGGGTTGTTTGATTCATTAATTGGTTGGGTTAAATCCAAATCCGGATTAAATTTATAAGTTTCGTGATCAAAAAGTCAATAGTTTAATATACTATTGGTTGTTTGGTCTGTAAATTTGTGAATTGAATCTTAAACTTTGATTTTTGGCTTTCTTGGAATTTGTGTCTTTTTTTGTGGGTTTAATAGCGATCTAACTATCCGAATTCACATCATTAATTAAAGGCTATTTTGCGCTATACCTCCCATCATTGAGTCCCCTGGCGTTGTATTGACACTTATCACGCCTGATATTCTTAACAATATTTTCAACCTTTTGCTGTGAAATCACTTTTCTATCTACTACAATTTATTTTATATTCTTAGAAGTATTGTAATTTATTTATTTTTTTTGGTCAAAATATTAATTTTTTAATGGATTAATAGCAAAAAAACCCCCTAGAAATGTTTTCATGTGCTATCACTCTTATACATTGGAAATCGCAGAAAACCCCTTAGTTTGAAATATTTTATGCGAAAAACTTTCTTGCCGTCAAGATTCATCAGATTTGCCGTTAAAAACAGTAAAAAAAAAAATACCAAAATTAAAAAGAAATTATTGCAATTTCATTACCCAACTTTTTTTTTTTATATAATTAAATCTAAATATTTTATACGTGCCACCTACAATTCTAAATGTTTAAAACTTTATATCACACCCCACTCCACTTCATCTTCTTCCCCATTTTCACCTCTCAATATAATTTATTACGGAAGGAAAAAATAGATCTTCTGGCTTCTACAAAAACCTAAACATTTTACAGAAATCCTCTGTTGCAAAAAACAAAATTATAGACCAAGAAAATTATGACAATGCAAAATTTTATGGTAGAGAATTATTTAGTAATAAAGATTTTGATCTAAGTATATTGTTGAGGGCTAAAGTGAAATAATATTAATTTTAATTTTACTTGGGCCAAGTAATTAGATTTTGATAGAGCTGGATTTTGTATATCAATATTGGGCTCGTTGGGTAGCTCGTATTAAATGATGCACTTTGGACTCGAGAAAAAGTTACTTCAGATAAGTTACTTTCAAGATATGAAAGTTTAAAGGAGTCGTCTTTAATTCATAATTAATTAAGTTTTATTTTTGATAAAGTTTAATAGTCATCGTAGTTTTATTATTTGAAACCAATTCTTATACAAATTCCTTAAATTACACGAATTTTCAATTTTAGTTACATACAAACTCAATTGAGAATTTTAACTATAAATAATGTAAGAATTCCATTATTTCACCACAGAAAACAAAGATAGCCACGGCAAAGAAAGAGAAAAAGTGAGGAAAAAATATAGAAAAATAATAGGAGAATTTGTACGTGCAAGATTTTATTCTTTTCAATTTTTCAAAATCAAGGTAAAATACTTTTGTGTAAGTGATTTGTTTTTGTATACTTACCGTTCAGGTTTAATCTAACAAAATGTAAACTCCATTGAATTCTTTATAAAGAAATGTAAAATTTTTCGAGAATTCAAAATACTATTGATAGGTGTCTCACTTAATTATCGATGTGCTCCATATGAAATGTGGTATGAAGTGTCTATTTTATTGCTATACAATTGCGTATGGAAACTGCATACATCTTACTATGTATTTCCAAATACTCGCTCTTACAACAATTTTATAGGTTAGTTCGGATCGATTGAATTTGTGACAGGATTGTGATGCAGGCTATCAAGTGAATCGAAAGAAATAAACATTAAATTTTTTGTATTTCAATTTATTAGTTAGTTTAATTAGTTACGTGATTATGCCTTTTTTTTTTTTTTTAAAGATACAATTTCTATGTTTAAATTTATCCACATTTCAGTTATTTTATTATGGAGAAATAAATTTTTATTGTTCCATATTTAACGAAAAGAAAAAAAAAAGAAAAAAAAAGCAAGTCTTTGGTAACACTGTAGAATTTATGAAAAATTGGGGTGTTAGAGTTTATGCTATTATATAATCACAATTATCTTTAATTTGAAACGGTATTAGCCATATTAGATTCTATTACCAATTATCTTAAAAGGACCCATGGGCAATAAGGGAGCATTACTAACGCAAGATAGCAACCTCAAGAATCTTTCAAAAGCTCTACAAAGTTAATGAACTTTAAGTTAGCTCTAAGAATCCCTCTGGAAAGGTCTACAATGTCAAAAATTCTATCTCATTTGTAGCTAAATGAAATGAGGTCAAAGATGATGCATTTGCAGTCAGATCATTTGTTTCTCTGCAAGTGAAGTTATTCAAAACTCAGCAAACATGTCTCTTTATTTTTCTAACACATTTGTATATCTTTATGCGTTTGTGAGTTTGTTAGTTGTTTGTGTTGCTTGTTGACTAACTCTTAATTATGTGGGAACTCATACTTAATTTTAGTGTTCCATTCTTCACGTCAAAATAATCTCAGGCTGGTGTTAGTTTGATTCTTACTAGCATTTCTTTTTCTTTGAGATTTACGAAAAAGCATGTGGAATGCAATGATTTGATGGTTGAAAGAGTCATTAGTTGTTGGATTGGCACTGTGTTGTATGTAACCTAGTATATATTAAAAGTGCAACCTTGAAAAGACTATTGGTTCAGAGTTTAAGTTTTGATGATATTGCGGAATGTTTCCTTGTAAATATTTGAAGTAATGGAGTAAACAAGAACCTAAATATCAAATTACATGTGGGATTAAATGATCTTGTAACATATACATAGAAAAATCTTTAGTTATATTTTGCACGATAAGTACAAGCAAATGCTAATATAGGAGTAATTGGTGTAACATGTACATAGAAAAATCTTTAGTTATATTTTGCACGATAAGTTCAAGCAAATGCTAATATATGTAATTGGTTATATCCTGTGAATTGTATGAATTGAGCCTTGCAAATCATACTTGGAAGAGGACAAGTTTTTTGGAAGAAGAATAAGGTTCAGATGTAGTTGAATGACAAAATTGATCAGTACTGGCTCTTGTCCAACTTACGCAATTTTTACCAAAAAGATGACTTAACAAAATTCTACATCATGAATGACATATTACAAAAAGTCTTTTCTTCAAGAATCCTAACCATCCAGCTATATTTTCTTAAATAAAACTCATTTCCAGAACTACATAATATGACATAGTTGACAATTGAAATAAGCTCTATGAAAGTCATCTTTATTTTGGCTTGTTCCAGTAGACTACTGGCTAAAACTTCCAATGACCTGCACGATAAAAAAAGGCCATTAAACTGGGACTGAACCATATGTTAGAGCGAACAAATATCACAGTTATAACTGTTATTAATCTTATGGGAAAATTCTTTTGAGATTAAACTAGCTGAGATGAATCAATTTAGAGCAAAACCCACTGCCCGTGAATTATAGAAATGTTGTTAGTATAGTTGGTGATGGTGTTTCTTAAGTTGAACTGTTTATATCTCATCTTTCTTTTCAATGGTTGTGTGGAAATTAAATGTCAAAAATCTAAGTGTCTTCAAATATACTAAATCTTGACGGTGTTGATTTTTTATGAGTAAAATATACAATGACTGTGGCTTCATCAGCCAACTCTTATTTATTCTGATTCTATACCTTGATAGTCAATTGGCCTTTTGCTCACAGTTATCAGAAGGGGCACAAGAGTATATTAGAAAAGATTAGCTTCTCTTTTTTCCATGACATTATCGAGTCTTATCTAGTGTACTAAACTTACACTAACTGGTCTCAGAAGGATTTTGAACTACGCAATAGAATCAAAATTCTCTTAGATCCCTATTAAAATTCCCATTTTTGCAGGTTCTCAAATTGTGGTCAGAAACCAAGTAACCAACTAACTTCACTGAACAAGATCATGTTGCCATGCATGAAAAGAAAACTATATCCATTCTCTGTAGGGAAAATATGTTGTGGAACCCAATAAATTAGAAGTCATTCAAGAAATTTTGCTAAAGTTTGAATACAGATATTGGTACAACATATCTGTTGATTAAGCAGCTTTAGAGCCGAGCTTGACAGGGTAAAAACTTAAAAGGATAACGCACAAAAAACTTCATCAAAGCAAGATCACAAATGTGTGCCTCCAAATAAATTGCAGTGAAAAAAGATAAATTCTTACTTGACTTAATAGTGGAGTGAAAGATATGATCGATAATCGAGATTGACACACTTTCATATCTCGTAATTGATCAGATCATACTGACGAAGGGATTATAGTTTCACGGTAAACGAACGAGTTTGATTTTATCATGTCATGTGACATTTCTCGTCACATGTATTGCCCTAACACATTACTAGATGTTAATCTGGGACAACGAGTGTGAATTGGTGATAAATTAAAAGGGTATTTTAATTTATCAATTTTAATTAGATCAAAATAATATTTCACGTCGTTAGGTATCGTGATCGGGAACCTGATGGGTCGCAAACAAAAGGAGAACTGGAAAATTGTGATTTGTCAATTAATTAATTTAACAAGTATTGGATAAATTAATTAATTGAGTTGCTTATTTTTAGGCCTGAATTGATTAATTTGATTAATTAATTCACAGACCGAATTTAATTAAATGGGTTAATTAAATGTTAGACCGAGTCAGGCCAAGCCCGTTCGGGCTTATATAAATATGATTAAGATTTTCAAAATTGCAGAGATTTTTCATTATTCTTGCTAACATAAGAAAAACCCTAATACCACAATCTTGTTCTTTGTGTGAATTATTATTAGAGACTAGACAATTGAACAGTTGTGGGAGACAGATCCAAGTTGCTGGAACAAAGATATGGCAAAGGAGTTTACAGATCTAGAAAATATATAACTTTTATCATAATTTCTATATAAACACAAAGATGAATCCTGATGGGAATCAAAAATTGTTTTAATTTTTGTTACACACGTTGAGTAGATTCCCAACAGTATTCTCTAACATCAGAATTCAAATTGCTAAGAAAGTTGCTACATGCAGCCTCAAAGGCCTTTTTTGCTATCTTCAGTCAATGAATTGTAGACAACCAGCATACCCCGTCACAATATACAACATAAATATTTAATTAGGAGATACATCAAGCACAAAAAGTAGTGGAAAGGGATAATAAAGTATGCAACAACAAAAATATAACAAGAGTAGATACCTACTGAAAAAATTATGCTACTAAAACTAACGTTTATTCATATGGTCCAAGAAATAATTCATGTTATGCACTCCACAGTGTTGTAGGCAAGATCCTCACAAATTCCATTTTCTGTATACCTTCTGAACAATATTCTACAATACCATGCACAGCTATCATCATCAAGCAGAAAGGAAATTAGTGATATTAAAAACCACTCTTACCTCTCTCCCCAAGAATATCACTCTTGCACTCCTGCTCGAAAGTAGTGGCAAAAGTGAAGAGAGAACCAAGGACAACTAACAATCCAAGGGCAACTTCTGTAGCTCTGCCATGAACATCCTAAACATGAAGGCAAAAAACCACCAAATCTCATATGTTAAGAACCTCAAATGTGCACACATCCAACCTCACACACCCACACCCACACCCACAACCACCACCATCTTCCACAAACTCATAGATGCACAAACCTGGTGGATAGCAAAACTCGAATTAATGCCAGCACCATTGATTTCTTTCCTCTGTACATATAACCTTCTTATCGAGGATCCCATTCCCTTTGGATACACAGGTATCATGCTGATGTGTTTTAGAAAGTCAAGGCCAAATGACTACAAATGGCCCCAAAGAAATTCATGTGGGAGAACACTTTCTCATAATTATCAGCCTGCTACACATGCCAACATGATGAATGAGTTGTTGAAAGCTGGTAAACGGATTAATAACAAAAAATAGACACTCTCATCTGCTATCTCTTGTAAGTAATCATTTTTTACACCAAGTAAAAAATTCAAGCATTCATTTTTAAATACAGAGAGCCATGTAAAGAGGATGACACCAAAGCCCTCATGGCTAAATAAACAAGGCAGTTTGATAATTGTGCTGCATCGGATATCAAGAGCAGCTCTGAATCACTGCTAGAGATAGCGTCCCCAGGGTTCCATTTTCTTCGAAAAACAGCAGCAAAAGCCTTAGCAAATGAGTGAGAATCTTTTCTCAGACCAATCTGCATGAAGAAGAATATGGCAACAAGCTTTATACGGGGGAAAACTCACATTATATTTTGAGAAGGTGACAAGAGTAGAAAAAATAACAAATTACCTTGACCATAATATCAGATTTCGATTCTGCAAGAGAATCATTTTTTAAGTTCTGAGCTTGAGTTCGTCCTTAAACAAATGCAAAAGAGATTCTATCATCTCCACGGAAATCAGTAGAACATCATGACGGGGCAGATTGACTTGTTTGCAGACACAAATTTTTAATGAAAGAAAAATAGCTCAAAAAAGCGAAGATGTCCACGTTTCAATGCATCAATAATTTGGAGGCAGGACAAGTGTTCTAGACGATAGTAATGACAAGAATGACTTAACATAATTTCACCAATTTTCCATTGAAGAACATCATTTCTCAAGGTTTTATTGGAACAGAACAATAGATAATTTGGTGGAGACTCACGTAAGGTACGATATGCATTTCAATCCTTTTCAAACTTTACTAACCTAACATAAATGTATGGAGATAAAGGAAACTCTTTCAAAAACAAAAGGCGCATAGCACGTAAACCAATGACCACCACATGAATGAACACTCTTTAAGAAGTTTCGGATCTCCAGTTCATTCATTTACATCTTTGACAGTAGTAATTCCCATCTTGGACAAGCTCGTTTCAGCTAATTTTAAACTATAAAGTAGATGCATCTTATCTTGCATTTAACTTACAAACTACTAAGATGTTTGGACAAAGCAAGTCCTGGAGATTGTGAGCATAAAGGGGAATAATCGTGAAGGGAAAATAATTATATTTTATGTTGGTTGAAATCTATGTAATAGTCAAAGGAAAATTATCATGTTCTATATTGGTTAAAATTTAATAATAAGTGCACCTCATTATTCACCAAAACCATTCGATAAACATTATTTACAGATATACTGGAATCCACTTCAGAAGTTGGACATTGGTTAGTCACATAACAAATAACTCATGTAAGATTACATTGTAGAAGAAGAAAGGCATAATTGTAGATCAAGAGCCAATTTTTGAGCAAATTTTCCTTGAATCATTGACCTGATATTTAATTGTCTTGAGTAAAAATTCTAATGGTGGATTTATGCTGTTTATACTTTGCAAGATCAGAAAGGAAAGTTTTATAAAAAGATTTTTCAATATGAAATTCAAAATTCTTTTCGAGAGCATAAAGCCCATCACTTCTCTAAGAGCTGAACTTGGAGTGTAAAATTAGAAATTAGCATAAAGCTCGACACAAATTACTGTGGAGAAAGAAGCACAACATAAACCTGCAAAGCTTAACGCCATTGAGTTAATAACCAGGAGGTATATTAGATTTAGTGAGAAGTTTAAAAAATAAAAGATATTCCCAAAAGCAATTGTGACTCCTTGCCAATTCCACTGCAACTTTCTTTCGTCCTATTAATTGCTATTTGTGTGTGTGTGTGTGTGTGTGTGTATATATATATATATATATATATATATATATATATATATATTCTTTTTTTAGCGTGATGTAAGGTGTCCTATATGGATAATCTGAAAAGCAACTAATAATTCTATTAGGACCATGGATTATCATATTTTTGTTGGCATCACTTGTTTCATGATTTTAATCCCTAATAAACAATGAAGAAAACAAAATAAGAAACACGCAAACACACCAGTGGCAATTTATCCTCAATGTCACATCTACATTCACTTGCAGCCATAAATTTTTCACTCTAATTAAGAAGGATATTGTCCATAGATAAAGTGTGTAGTACATTAATGAAGAAACACGCACACACACATTTGTGGCGATTCATACACAATGAAATAATTGATTTTCTTATGGTGTAGAATGGTGTCTCTTATTCCCACTGCCCATGTTCTTTGTGCTATGTTCTTTTTTTAACCCCTCCACAAGTTAAGCGATTTTAATAAACGGAGCATTAGGGGTGTCCTTTATTTATAGACATTATATTGTTTTCCTACTGAACTTAATATGTTATAAAGGATTCCACAGAAGAGGAAAAAACTTTATGGGTATGTTAATTCTCTACGAAAAGAGAGTATTTAGAAAATCAGTCTTATGCAAAAAGAGTCTTTTAAAAACCAGTCTTTGAACTCGGAACATTCTATTATGCCCATCAAAAGCAAGGATATCTCTTTCTCTTCATAAAATGCTAAGTTGGAGGTTACAAATTTTTTAGCCTTACATCTGCATTATATATACATTCCAGCCTTGGTTTAGCATCCAAGTTTGATAGAAATATCTAGATTCTTGCTTACACTGCAGATACAGTATGGAATGAATTGGATCATTAACATAAATGGTTTTAAGACACTTTACTATAAATGCAACATATATTTTATTTACTGTAGCATGCTTCGGAATACCTTTTTGGGATCCTGTCAACAAAATTATGCTTTGTTGTGCAACTATAATATTATAGTCAGCAATCTGAAATAAAATAAAGACCAAAATGACTAACTGGAATATATATGTAAAACATATTTCACCTAAAAAACAAAAAGGAAAAACACATAAATTCCTCAACATAACACATTAGAACAGACAAAGCAGGTGGCAGCGAAAACATATAGGAATAACCATTGTAACTATCAATTGGCCTAATACTCCCACTCTCCAAATCAAACACTCCGATACTGTGACACTTTCCAAACCCAATCATAATCCCTGCGACAAAAAAACTCATTTGTAAAAAATACAGAATTACCTTTACACCCATTATACCCAAAAATCACCAAAGCAGAAGTTTAAAATGCGCAATTATCACCCAGGAACAACAACGTATCACCCAAATTAGTCACTTTGACCAATTTTTCATCAATTTCATCCAACCTAAAAACTTTGATCTTATCGTCCTCTCACTCGTATAACAATCAAATTCCTAGTAGAACTCAAAATCCTCAATGTACCCCAAATCATCCTCCAGTGCAACAGTTAAATAATTATCGACTAACAATATATTATTTTAATCATCTCATTTTTCTCTTTGTCCACATTTTCAGCTTCTTTTTAGAATTTCAAAACAACACTCAGAAAGTAAGAAATACTTAAATATGGATTTAAGACACACATCATATATGGCAAAACCATCACACAAACTTCAATTGTTCTCCGAAATTTTAGATTATAGACACATGAACCAAGCAGCAAAAATTCAAGAAACCAACATACACAGTTCATTGTTTACCTATGAACTTTAGTTTTAGCAAGCTTTGCACTGCTCTACATTCATGATAGTTGCAGAAAGAACATCACTGTAAAAGGAAGTAATCCTTTTAGCCTCTGCTAGTACAGATGCGGTATGGAAGTGAACACCATCCTTAATTGTACGCATGGGGAAGCTGTTGAGACCGATTGACCAATATTGCAGGAATTGAGATTTATTGAATACAACTTGTTGTAATTGAAGTAATTAACAAGATCACGAAAAGCCACGTACAAGATTAAAGTAAAGAAATAAAAGAACTGGCAGAAGAACGATGTTATTTTATTCAATCTATGAAAGGAGAGAATTACAACAATAATGGCTTCAACAATACTGAAATTGGAGTCTTATATGTACACGAGTCTTGGCAAAATATGGAAATTAAAAGGAAAAAAACGTGAAAAAAAATCTGTCCACGGCATACATATTTTTCTTACTTATTCCTTTGATTCTTTCCATATTAACGTGTCTCGGATTTGGATACCAATTGATCCCATTTCCTTTTGTTTACCACTTTGATATTTCCAAGAGAAAGGATCACGCGCAATCTTCAATATTTCCTTATTTTGAGGCACAGATTCAACAGAAGCAGTCCCCTATGCTTCACTGGCAGTACCACTACCCTCCATTTTGCGCTTTTAAGAGTTGAAACTTGGAACTGACAACAGGAAAATGGTGAGAGCAGGAAAAAATATACGAAAGAGCAACAAATTGAACAAATAATACACAACAAGAACATCAACGGAACATACTTCAGCTATTTTGAGTTCGATTTCTCAAAAGATCGAATGAACAAAAAGAAAAATCACAGATTCAACAATTGAAGTGAATAAACCGTAAAAATGTAATTGGTACTTCATCTTAAATTAATTGGTAACCAAGGTGATGAGATATTTAGTGAACAGTATTGTAACAGAGGAAATACACGAAAATGGACTTTCCACTGTAGCAAATTTTCATATTGGCCTTTGACCCATTAAATGAATTGAAAAAAAAAAAGAAATTAAGTTTAAAAAAACATTACACTAAAAGAGCAAATTTACCTTTCAGCTAGTGACTGTTTGAATCTCATTTTCTAGCCGACCGACCAAAAAAGAAAACCGACACACAGTCGTCTGAAAATTGTCCGATCAACCACCGGCCAACTACACCACCGTCGTAGTGAGCTTCACGCATCTACACCGGAAAGAATACCGGTTAGTTTTCTCGCACAGAGTTCCAGTTGAAAATTTATTGAATAATATTAGATTTAATTAGATGAATATTCGATTTGATTTCTATCATGAGCATGAGTAGTGTTAGATTGTGGGCATGCTGAGATAAAAAATGTGATATTTTTTGTAATTTTTGGACCTACTGGCCGGCAATGGCGATTTCTGACAGAAATGGAGAAGACGAATAAGTTAACAGTCGGGTTAACCCGACTGTTAATAGTCGGCCCATGACTGTTAACAGTCCAATTTTTTTTTAAAATATATTAATTTTTATTTGTTTTTTATAATTTTTGTAATTAATTTAATTTTTTATTTGATTAGTAATTATGTTATTTATTTATTTAATTTTTATAATTGTCTTTTATTTATATAATTTAATAATTGAATATTATCTTTAATTAATAATTTTGTGTTGTTCCTTTTTTTTATGAAATAATCTTTAATATTTTTTTTCAAATTTATTTAAATAATATAAATATTCTTTACATTTTTTTTAAATGTATTTAATTTGAAATTTTTTGTTTGTAAATATATTTTCCAAATGATTACAAGATTAATTGTCTTTATAATTAATTTATTTGAATTTGATTAAATAATAATTATGTTATTTATTTATTTAATTTTTATAATTGCCTTTTTTATATAATTTAATAATTGAATAGATAATGTTGTCCGAAATTGACAATTCTTTTTTTTCCTTTTATTGTTCTTTTACCTTTGATTTTGTTTCGAATTTATTTAAATAATATTTATATTCTTTAATGTTTTTGAAAATGTATTTAATTTGATTTTTTTAAATATATTTTCCAAATATAATATTTGTGATTAATTTTCTTTATAATTAATTTATTTTAATGCGTATTGTATGGTAATTAGAATTCGGTTCCCTTGATTTTGTGAGATTATGCTGTCTTTTGTTATCTGTTGTTCAATACTCTAACATTTGAATTTTTGCAGGATGGAATATCATTTAGATGGGGAGTTGAGACGAATGGCGGGGAAGGCTACTTGGAACAGTAGCTTTGAGAGTTTTACTGTTGTGTTGGAGCTGCTCGATGATCAGCACAGAGATATGCTACGACGGTCCTTCTTATGGCCACTTTACCAGTTGCGAGAGGTGCAGTACTCAGGACAGATCATCGATGCACTTCTATGTCGGCTTCTGAGGCCAGTCGACGACGATTCCCTCCAGTTCGACCTCGGGGGCAAGGTCGTCCGTTTCTCGACATTTGAGTTTACATTGATCACTGGACCGAGGATTACGGGCGACGATACAGCCATTTGGGCGCTTTAACCATTCAGCCATGGATGCTTAGCGGGGATCCTCGTACATGGTAAATAACCAAATTCCAATTGAACAAATTTCATGATCTAATGGTCCGTTTTCTTGATCTTCTCCTGCTTCTTGTTCCAACTCGCTGGTTAATTTGTATAACCAGCGAGGTACTTTTTTACTGATTTCTTTTATTCGAATCGATTTTTTACTAATTTTTTGAACATTAATATCAGTTACAATTCTATTTTGAAAATATTTCAAATATTTTGTACGAGACGTACTTCCAGGGACATGGGTCAGTGCTTCTATCCAACTTGATGGTCGCGATTAGGGGGGTGCGACCAGATGCTAGATAGATTGAAGTTTGGGCTGGTCTACATCCTCGAGAGTGTGATGAGGTGTTATCACAAGAAGACTGCCATCGACATTTTTCATTTGCAAGTTGTTGACGACATCGATGCGTTCAACAACTGTCCATGGGGCCGGAGATGCTACGAAGACACTGTACATGTCTTCACCAGAGCACACTCGAGGCCCAGGGGGTCGATGCGTAAATACGATACATATGGATTACCCTTAACGGTGCAGGTAAATGTTTAATATAATCAAAGTTAAAGTTTTAGTATATTACATTTGTGCATAATAAGTATATGTGTTACAGATTTGGGTGTATGAGACAGTCCTTGTACTGTGGGCCCGCTTTGCGTAGCGAGGGGAGACACGCTGCCCTCGGATACTTCATTGGAGATCATCGCGAGCGGAGAAATGTCCTACTGGGAAGCAGTTATCGGCCTTCCTCGACGATCCTCAGGTAAGTATTATGCATTTGTGATTTATATTATAAGTAATTTAAAATTTTGTTTACATGATCGTTAAGTAGTTGAAATGTCAATATGTCAGCTTGAAGTCATACCTGAGTTGACACCGTCGATGGAAAAGGAGGCTCGGGGTCTTGTGCGGGATTTAGGCGTTCCGCACACCCTAGACGAGGAGATGTCTGATCCGAGTTTGGACCAAGATTGGGTATGTGAATGAAATATAATTTATTGAATATCATCGACGTATAAATATATTGAATAATTTGTAATGTTTTTTATGTAGGAGGGTGGTCCAGCTGATCCACGATCACCTCCGCCGAGGGTATCGCCGCCACCATTGGCATCACCTCCGCCGAGGGTATCACCGCCGCCAATGGCATCACGGCATCACCTCCGTCCAGACATCTCCTCCGTGTGTCTCCGGCACACAGTGATGATTTGTATGCCCGTTTGACTGGATTTAGAGCGGAGGAGATCAGCATGCTACAACGAGATTTGAGAAAGAACGTCGATGATCTAGGATGAGAGTTGATAGGGAGGGTCAACGATCTGGCAGGGAAGGTCAACTATCTTACAGGGAGGGTCGACGATATGGGACGAGAGTTGATAAGGAGGGTTGACGATCTATCTCATGACGTTGAAATACTACAGTCTTCCGTTGTCGTCTTTCAAGATACAGTAGCGGCACTTAGAGGAGATTTAGCCGGCAGATGATGAGGGGACAGAGGGGATGGCGGAGATCATGATCGAGAGGGTGGCAGAGATGGTGATGGAGAGGGGGGTCACCCACATTTTTGTCCTGATGAGACATTGGAGTCATTGTGGTTGTCTATGGAGGGGGTGGC